GCATGGGGAAGACACATGGGGTAATGTGTGAATGCCAAACAAACAGCGAGTTGGAGATGGTGCTATACTTCAAAGCATGGCTTTTTGTCCTTCATGAGAAGGTGAAGGGTGAGAAGATGAGCTCAGTGCAGTAGATGGATTCACAGATGGATTTGTCCAGTATTGCAGAGGCCGTGCACAAGAAATGGCTTGAAATGATCAACAGCAGAGCTGTAGACGATATTAGTGACTCACCGGATGTTAGGAACAAGAATCTACTCTAAAAAGAGTTTGAAAACTTGAAGCATGTACTGCCGGAAGAGGGGAAGGTGCAGGTGCTTTTTGTTTTTGATGAGGATCGCAGTCTTTGAAAAAGGTAAACATGCTTACAAAAGTTTTTATTGTAACTAATCGGGTGTCCTGTATAGCCGAGCGGCAAAGCTGCAGGAAAGTCCACATTCACAGATGCGCAATCACTTAAATCGTCCGAGGCTCCAACTGGTTAGCCAAGGACGAGTTTGGAGACTTTCAAACTGCTCAAGGGAGTCCTCCGTCTATATATGCTGTCATCTAATGCTCTGTGATAGAGTGGAGCTCATTTCATCACAGGCATTTGTGAGACACTATGAAAACTACGGTTACTGTTGTAAATAATACTGCCTGGTCTGCCAGTGCTTGTTTCCCTGAATTGCCTGTATTCCCGCAAGTAAGGAATGTGAGTTTACTACTTCAGAGTGCTGACGCTGTTGCTACTGACTCTGGTTGGTTCTCACTCTTTTAATTATCTTCTTTTCCTCCATGTGAAGTGAGTTGAGATGACAGTTGCATTCACACTCTTGCAGGGCCGATTGGAAAGACCAAGAACAAGGGTGTAAGCAATTTGTTTTGATGTTCCAGTTTTCTTTGCTGGGGCGCTTTCCAGTGCATAACACTGTTAGTTTTTAACGCTAGTTGAGACATGACACCAAGCTTCGTCTACTTGTGCCAGAATGACTAACAACCAAATGTAAACCTGTGGTGCAGATCAATCCATGAATAAGGGGGTATTGATGGTCGAGTCAGTTGTTCCTGCAAGAGAATTCATCCTTGGGTCCACATCCACAAAGACAAGTGGAGATTGGGGAGTAGTTTGCAGGCTCGACAAGGACTAGTCGAAGAAAGCTAATATCCTGGATTTGCGGCTTTTAAGGCCTATTTATCAGGTGGTGAATATGGACCTTACAGAAGGATGAACCCAATATACTGCAAGAACTCTATTCCCACCATGATGTGAGATTTCTCCAAGTTTACAAATGATCTAGGACGGAAGCGCCCAAAAGCTGCCTGATGTGTTGATTGGCATTAACACCCAACCGGTCAACACGTTTATAATCAGTCAACAAAATTCCTTAAGGAATTATATGCTAAGTGGAATATAATATTTATTGTTTTGATACTATTCCAATAATGTAAAAAACTATAACAATCAAAACAGTGTTGGGTAGAATATGCTGGCAATAGCACTTAAAAAACTTATATGCTCACTAGACCATCAAATTTAATCCTTAGAAAAATAATATTCTGTGAATCTTCTCAAACTCCCCCCAAAAATAGAAATTTAGTGATGATTACAATTATCTGTTGACTTTGATCAACTATATAACTATATTTTAAATGTTTTATTCTGTTATTATCTAAAACTCAATACTAAATTCTTTGAATTAATAATAATACTTAACTGAATTAAAGTGAGACTAAAATTAAAACTGAAATGAAGAAAGTGATATCAATTCTAATATTCAAATGGATTCTATTGTTAACATTAATATTTAAACATAAATTTTATGCTCGGTATTTTATGTAAGGAACTTTGATGTCAAAACATGTATTAAGTAGTTTGAAGATTGAAGAAGGCAAATAAATGGGTTAGAAATTAAACTGTTTGTTTAATAATTTACTTTTTAATTAAATCATCCATGGTCATCTTCCACTATTAAAGTACAGTTCTACCATGGAAATGTTAGACAAGATATACACCCCACAGTCATGGGAATCTATTTCCACTTCAAAGCCATCCTTTTGCCTCTGAGTCCAATCTTCATGCTATAACCCACACAGAGCAAAGATATATTATATCAATTGTAAGAATTGTGTAACATATTACATACCTTCCACAAATCTCTTACACTTGCTGTCACACTCGGTTCCAATCCAATATCGTACCAATTGATTGTGATTAATGCTCGCTTCCACCCTCTATTCCATGCTGCCATGACAATTCGATCCCCTGATAGAGGACCAGCCCACACCTGCGTGGTCACACAAAGCTTTGTCAGTGTCAAACAAGAAGTAATTACCTCAGACTGTCCTATTCGGCTCACTTTGCGTCCCTGTATTCCTAGTGAATCTACATTCCAAAAGAAAAAGACTGAGAAAGCAATGGCTCCAATCTTCAAGAACTTACCTTGATTTACTGCTATTATCTCAGTGTTCTTATAAATTTCAAGGTGTTCTTTTGTGATTGTTCTCAACTCACAGCCGATGATGAGAGGTGCCTGAGGCAAGGCACTCTAGTCTCAGTTAATGAGAAACAAGCATGCAAACCTTCATGATAGACCAAATGCTGAAATGTGAGCGATACTCAGCCAAAGACATTCGACCATTCCCCACTTGGAGCATGTCAGGGTCTGAAAGAGAGATGCTTGAGAAATTTATGTAAAGCCAACCATTGATCTCACCGTTCCAGCCTCCGGGACCAGCATAAGATGCCCACAAATTGTTGTCATCCGCTAGCAACTCTATGCTGCAAGCGAAACTGGTCAGAAAAGGGAAAAAGAAGAAGATCCAGGAGAACTTTACCGTGGCCATCTGTCTTTCACGTCAAGTGATGTCCGCCAGCTATTTGCATACTTCCCAGCCCACACGGCTGGATGATCTTCTCCCCTAAGCACAGAAACATGAGCTCTCATATCGCAAGAGATAGCAAGAAAACAAAAATTTAATTACCATTCACACATTGCATAGAAGATAGGACGCCCGCTTTTGTTGAGAGCCTCGCTCATCACAGGGTACCTACAAGAGTTTCGCGGTGGTGTTGCTCCATTCCTTAGATGAAAACGTTGTCTGCGTACCGAGCATGAGAAGGCCGATTTTTCTTGTGAAAGCAATTGTCGTACTTGAGATAGTCGATTCCCTGGACGAGAAGAAATAACTCAAGTGACACTGAAACGGAACAAAATCAGCATGTTTACTGTACCCACGAAGCAAAGGTTCGTGCATCTCGAAACTCGTGGCCCTCTGAAGCCGCTCGGTGGCATTTGCAAGTCATTCTCCTGGAAAATGTCTGCAGATGATAAGCTTCCACTAGTTACAAGTTTTCTAAACTCTCTGGACAACTTACCCAGCATCAGAATATAGTCCAAACTTCATCCCTCTCTCGTGAGCATAATCCGCGAGCGCTTTCATGCCAGAAGGAAATGTTTTCTTATCGGATCGCAAATTTCCCTGAGAAAGAATGCCTTGGCACAAAAGAAGAAAAGGTAAAAAGAAACGCTTACCTCCTTGTCACGCTTATAAGCGGACCAACAATCATCTGCAAAGAAAACATTGATTTTCCGAGAAGCTGGAATCACATTCATACCAACAATCACGTAGTTGTATCCATAAGATGGAAGATCGAGCCGAACCAAAGCATCCACTGAAGCACCAAAGTTCTACTTGGAATGACTCGAAAGTTTCACGAGAGCTTACTGTTCCCGTAGACGATCTTCTCGTTAATAGTGCATTCGTAGAAGTTCCATCCGCTCCACCTATAAAAGAAAGCAAAAACGAAAAAAAGGTCGTTTTTGAGCTCTACCTTGAGAGAAAGAAAGAATGTAGCCACAAAAAAGAAAGAACTCACACTCACCCCATCAATGGCGTTTGTCCCAATCCATTGTCATACACCATTCTTCTTTCCAGCGGCACGGCCTTCCTGATATCCCACTTGGTGTGCGTTCGATCAAACAGCTGCGAGCAGCCCAGCCGGCCCCTGGCCTTCCACGCGAAGATCGCCACGGCAGCTACAATCCCTAGATTCCGCCAGAACAGGTACTCCATGGGCACGCGCTTAGAAATCCACTGGAGCCGCTTGGCGCCAATGACTCGCACCGCAATGCCGGAGGCAGCGCCAACGATCCAGCACCAGTAGGCGACCATGGATCGAACGAAAATGCTGGAGCGATTCCTCATCGCGAGCCCAGCAAGAAAATCCCTCTCGCAAGAAAAATCTTTCTAGGGCTCATCCACACCAACGGTTTAAACGCTATCATCGCTACAAGGAATCGAACCATTAACTATAAAAAGGCTTAGATTGATCAAAGGATCATATAGCGATCGAGAGAGCATATTACAGTGGACAAGGAAAGAATCTTCTTCTTCCTACTAGTTAGAAAAGGAGAGGAAACGAGAAATTTTCCAGAGATTTCTTCCAGGCTCTAGCCCCCAAATCCGTAGAGCGTCCTTCCCTGCCGCTTGAGCGCGTACACCACATCCATGGCGGTGACCGTCTTGCGCCGCGCGTGCTCGGTGTATGTAACGGCGTCCCTGATCACATTCTCCAGGAAGATCTTGAGAACTCCCCTGGTTTCCTCGTAGATGAGACCGCTGATACGCTTCACGCCGCCCCTACGAGCCAGGCGCCGGATTGCCGGCTTGGTGATGCCCTGGATGTTGTCGCGGAGATGCTTGCGGTGGCGCTTGGCACCGCCCTTGCCCAAACCCTTTCCTCCCTTTCCCCTTCCAGACATTGCCGCCGCGACGAGAAGATTACCTGAAGAAATGGAAGGCGGAACAGCAAATCGAAGAACCCTAGACTCTGTTGCCCGGAGCTTCTTCTTTTGGAAGATTATATAGCTCCGGCAAATCGCAGTGGTCGGATCCGACGGCTCTCCATCGCTCAAGTTGTGTTTGTTTGCGGCGAATCTGGACCGCTGGATGAAGCATCGACGGTGGGGCTGTGCGGATCACTACACGGATCGCCACGGTGGACAAATGTGTTATGCTTTTGATTAAAACGATATGTTTATTAAGGCGTTTATTAAACTAAATGTGATTAACAGCCATAGCGATGGGTTCTTCCCGAGTAAGCTTGTAGAGCATACGAAAGCGATGAATCGATGTTTCTTCTCAGCTCTCCCATGTAACTGCGAATGGAGAAAAAAACTCTTTCAGGGAGATCTTGATGGAGCTTTGCGACTTACATGATTTCTGTGAGCTTGATCCTCCAGGGGGGAAAGCCTTGGACGGAGTTGATCTTGCCAAACACAAGCATGAGCTCTGGATCGGGTTTCCAGCGTCCTTGAAGAAACCAAACAAAAAAGAGGATTTTGATCGTCAAAAGCATGAAACGAAAGAGAAAAAAACTCTCTCTTTCTCACCGATTTGCTTGAGAGACTCGTTCAAGTCAGTCTCTGTGAGGCTGTTGATCCGCTCCAGCTGATCCTGCCGCGAGGAACCACGGAGGTCGTCATGGATCCTCCGCGCAGCCTCGGCAATCGCGTCTTTTCCATCGCTCATGGACAGAAGCTCCACCACCATTCTCGGTTCGCTCTTTGTTCTAATCGGATTTGATCTGGGGAAAGGGTCCACTCCGTTGGAAAAATGCTGGATCGATTACAATGCCAACCAAGGTTTAGCAACGTAAAGTAGAAAACGGAAGAAGATACGTACGAAGTCATGCTTTAGTTGCCGTTTCCAGGTAGAAGACACGACTCTTTTCTCAAGATACGTGCCATATCTCTTCAAAATGCCTGCGTCTCTACACAAACGAGGAACTCATAAACTAAAAGTAGCAAGGAGCGACAAGCTCATCGAAAAAAATCACAACAAAAGAGATCAAACAAAAGAGAGCTAGGAAAGGAAAATCGAACCAAGGTTTAATAATCCATCCATCACAAAATCAATCGATCCAGGGAAAAAAAAGAGAGGAACCATACCTTCCATGTCGTAGAGCGCAACCTGGCGAATTCCCGCCGCCGCCAGAAAAACCAGCAGCTCCACGATCTCGTCCCGGCCCTTCCTCGCCGATTCCCCGTCCACGACAATGGCGACGACGCGGGGCTTCTTCGTCACCGATCTCCACGCGAATCGCACAGATCCGGTGGCGATGGCGATTCCATCCAGGAATCGCTGGAGAATCGCGGCGCAGCTCGCGATCGCGTGGAGCAAATGCCACACGACCGCTGCCCACACGGCTCCCATGCCCAACCTAGCCCACGAGAATATGCTCGCTTCAGTCCAACAAGGTCAAAAACCCTAAGATAGAACGAATATTCTTGTTCTCTTAAGCAGTAGGTTCTCAATGAGTTTCTTCAATGTTGTGCTTTCTCTCAAGGTTCTTTGGTTGGGTTTTGGTTCTTCTTTATATTTATATATTCATTCATTCATATACTACTTCCACTGTGGTGTGGCACCATGAAGCATAAGACCAAAAGATTTAGAAATGTTATTTTGAAAAAGATAGTCATTGCAATGCTTGCACTGATATCCATGTATTCCCACTCTTGATCTTTGATGCCTCTGCTCCATACAGGCTTTGACCTCTATACTCCATACTCTATAACTGACTCAATGTGGTTGTTCTTGGTCTTGTTATGGAAATTTTTGCACACTCTCTTTGTTCCATACTCCTTTTCCTTTCTCCCTGGCACCATTCTTGAAATTGACATAGGATTCAGCTCCAATTTCGTCTTGACTATATTGACGTGGCTAAAATCTTGCCTAGTGCTGAACATGATGTTTTCATTATCTTGGTTCACAAGGTGTGTGACTTTTGTCTTGCCTTGGCTCTTGACTTGATTCCTGACTTCTTCCTTCATCTGAGAGGGAGGCCTTGGGCTCACAACACATCATGGAATATTGCTGATATCCCAGCTTTTCTCCTGGCACCTTGCTCCACCAGCCAGGTTCCATCTAAACTTCTTTCTATAGCAAACTTAAAATTTGGAATGGACCATTTCAAGGCCAAAGCTTGTGAACATGTAGCTCAATGTTTTGTTAAAAAAATCACAATATAGACCACTATTAATTATCATATACAATCAATCTACTTTGTAAAACACTCAAAAGGAAACAAGTAGTGATAAACATTTTTATAATCATTGCCCTTTTTTAGTATGGAACTTATTTCTTATAGATTTGGATTGTTTTGCATTGCTGTGAACCAACAGTGGGTCCCTAGGAAAAGAAGGCTATATTAAATGTATGTTGTATAAGAAACTAAAGAGAATGACTCGAGAGACTATTTATAAAGGTTCAAATATAAAGAGAAAAAGTTTATGAGCAAAGAGTATCCCTTTTTTTCAATTGGTTAAAGGTTTTAGAATACTTGGGGTTAAACATCTTTGGGTTTGTAACATTTTATGAAGTTTAAATTCAAAAGATACACCAATGTATTTCTTGGGAAATTTAAATTCAAAAGCTTACACATTAGTGTAAGAGATTGAATTTGGGTAACAATAATAATGACTATGGTGAAAGTAATATTTTATATGATATATGGTGCTATAGAGGTGTTGTGGAGGTAGTTATGGTTAAGAAATGTAAAGGATCCACTTCTACATGATTGAAGCAAAATGTAAAGTTGGGTAAGAGGAATTATTAGCTAGCTTAAAAGCATCTATATTAATTGACCATTAATTGAGGACATTAGGAGGGGATGGTAAGATGCTTATATAATATAATAAGCTTAATTTATACAAAGGGCGATTTTAATTCTTATTAATTTTATAAATTATTTTATTTCATAAAATACATAATTAATTAGTTTTATTTTAAATACTGTGAGTGCATGGAATATGGAAATAGGATAAAAATTATATATATATCAATTAGCTCAAAAACCCTAGCTTATATACAAGAACAAGTGGTCCGAATTGAAATCAATCTATCAGCTATCAAAATCCCACTATAATAATAATAGTATATAGCATTATATCCATACATATAAACCTCACATCATCCCTTTTAAAAGGATAGAAGGCAACTATAGTTAATTGGTTTATGAGCTAGGATTTGGAGGAATATTGTAAGGGGGCATCAATGGATCTATAGGTGGTGCTACTTGTTTTTAATCCCTTGTACAAAGTGTTTCAGCTATTGCACATAAACAATTTCTGGAGGATTGACCTGTTGAATGTTACTTACTATACATACATAATTTCTAAAGGATTGGCCTATTGAATGTCATGTTAAACTTCATAAATTTATAATTTAACTTGTTACAATTCCTTTTACTGAGCAAAAAACCCCTTAGACAAACCATGTACCATAAAATTGAGAAATTGAGTAACATCAAGTCATTCACTTTATACTCCATTAGTGGGTGATGATAGGAGTTGTAGTACCATTATTGTTCCACTTATACGTGGCCTAAGTGTTTAGTAGATTTCGATTAAACAATTAGAAGAATGCTTGTCAAATGTAAATCCTAGAATTTAGCATTAGTAGCTTGTGGCAATTGCAAAGGTAAACTCAATTATGTTAGCAATATTAGATCATGACCATATAAAAGTTTATATGGTAAAACACTAATGGAACTTTATACCCCTCTAACATATGTATACCAAAGAAATTGCAAATAATCATCTTAATTCAAATACTAAAAGTTTATGTACTTCGTAATTATCCTTTTGAAAGTCCGAATGAGCCATTCCACTAAACCATTTGTCTATAGATGATAAACACTTTGTGAATGTGTGACATATCCCAGCCAAGATGTTAAAACATAAAATGTTTCATCCATAAATACAGGATAATTATCCGAGAATATCTACTCTAGATAGGAATACTAGAATACCACTTAATTGAAGAGGAAGTGTAAAACATTAGCTAGAGCATTGACTTCCACTCATTGAGTCAAGTAGTTGGAAGCAATAATGACATATTTATTACTAACACTTGACTATGGAAAAAGCCTCTTTAGATTAAATGCCACTAGCTTAAATAGATGAAAAATTGCAATTGACTTCAACCATCATTTTGTAGTATGAAGGGAGTATTATGAGCTTGGCACCAAATATAGCTATGCATATACCAAAAAATATCATATCACATATTAGCCAATAGAAAGAGTTGCATATCTTTTTAATCACATAATGATGTCCCATATACTAGCCTAGATTTAGGAGAATCATGGTAAATGTAAAGAAAGTGTGGAATAAATATCAAAGGCACCACTAGTCATAAATGATTATTAAGATCTATCCCCACAAAATAAAGAAGGTAATACTCAAGATGATATTGAGAATACAAATACAATCATTAACAAGTGATGTATGACTCTAAAACCCTTTATGAAACTTTCAAATCCACAACTCAACATTTTAAGCTTCACAAACCTTGTTAAAAGAAGGTAAATCTTGCCTCGCACTTTGTGAACATTAAATATCAAATACAACAACTGCCAATGGCATGGAATTCTTGTTTAGAAAATTTATAAATGCTAGAGCAATAGACTCATCATGAATAGGAGAAGTGAGTGAAGAATAGAGAGGAGCTTGAGAAAAGGTGTTAGCATCAACTATACAACTCTTTAAACAATGAACAACCTCGAAATTATATATTTAAAACTTAGAACCCACTAACTAGTATGACTAACTAAGTTCTTTCATTTCAATAATGAAATAACTATAACATGATCACCTCCTAGTAATGTTTGATCACAATATAAATATATATGAATCTTCTCAAAACCCTAAATTGCTACTAAACACTCTTTCTCTGTCGTGGAGTAATTCAACTCCACTTGTTGTAATATATGGCTGATATATATATATGATGATATTAACTACTACTTTTTTGCATCAACACACCTCTAAGACTGACATTAAAAGCATTCACATGCAAAATGAAAAGTCAAGTGTAGTGAGTATATGCCAAAACTTGAGGAGTTATCATTAGCACTCTAAAATTCATAAACGTCTGCTCACAATTTATGGACTAGATGAAAGATGATATTAATAATTTCAATAATGTTCGCAATGATGCAATATAATCATAAAGATGATCAACGAAATAGCTGAGATATTGCACCTTACTTAAGAAGTGTTGCATATCATTCATACACTTTTGAGTAGAGAACTTTAGAATAACCATAAGTTTGTCAAGACCAACTTGTAAACCCTTACAAAAAATAAAATACCTAAGATAAGTTACCTAAATATGCACTTCAATCACTTTAGCTTTAAACTAACTTCTTGCAGCTGATCTAATATTTTATGAACATCATATATATGCTTCTTTTACATCCTTTTTTAGTGGATCAAGATATCATCGATGAAGTCAATAGTGACCATCGGTATATCACAAAGAACTTTGTCCATCATTCACTAGAAAGTTGTTGAAGCATTGTTTAAATTTAATAGCATCACTAAAAACTTGTATAAATTAAATAGTGTATGAAAAACAATTTTAGGAACATCTTCCTCAACCATTGACACTTGTCAATACCCAGAAGCAAAATCTAACTTAGTGAATCAATGACTTCTTCTTAGACAATTCAGAAATCACTAGTGTGAGGAAGATTGTACATATTTAGAATAGTCACTTCGTTTAATAGATGATAGTCAATGCAGAAGTGATTACTCCCATTAGACTTCGTCACAAGATGAAATTCACATACCCAAGGACTTTAAAACTTTCAGATAACGCCTTTTTTTAACATCTTTTGACATGCATATATAAAATCTTAACTTTCTTTGGTAATTGACACCAAACAAAAACCTTGATTGAATGAGCATCCTTAATTGCAATAAAATGATGTGTTATAATCTTGATCCCATACAATAGGTTAAAGTCAAAAAGATCAACATACTTTGTTAACCACTGCAATATAAAGGCCATTGAAGGGAGAGGGAATAAAGGAGCAAGATGGAAATAAAATATAAAGTAATGGAGAAACAAAACTAATGGAAGTAGAAGGATAAAAGGGAATAAAAGCGAGAGGAATGGAAGAAATATAAAAAAGTATGAGATAAGGGGGAAAACCTTTAAAATTATACTTCGTATTATTGTGTTACAATCAATCTATACCAAAGATGAGGTCAAAAGTACCATCTACAACAATTGAAGTTCAAGTTTGAGATCACCTATACACATAGTTAAGTTTACTTTATCCCACACATACGTATGTGTATGGCTATTGCCATAAAGAATAAAGATTGGCTCTACTGCACGATGCAATTGTAGACGGTAACATGTGGCAATAGGTGAGCAATAGAAGATAAACTCAAGTC